GGATGTATCATTGCTCTATACATATAATCTGTGTGTGAACTCAACCCTAAAGAAACCAGATCTTCTGAGAGAGTTGACTCTAGCACAATATGAACACAAGACTCGCGTCATAACTCAACAACTCGAAATCATCCAATGTCAATCATGTCATGCCACAAGCAGTGCACAATGACAATCCATATGAATCCAAATAATAAAAGCAAAAATTTTGGTGCATGCATCGTATTCTTTGAATCATATGAATAGTTTAAAGAATGAAGCTGCCAAAATAAAATATAAAAAAAAATTAAAAAAAAAAAAACTGCTAGTTCAGAGCCACCTAACAAGGATAGTCAACCTTGACAACAAGTGAACAAAACCACCTCTCAAAACCACATTATATTCATAATCTGTAAGTAAACTTACCCGTAAGAATGCGGAAGATCTTCTAATAGAGTTGACTCTAAACACAATATGCACACAAGAAATGTCTTCATTAGAACTCAACAGACTCAAAATCATCCAATCTCAATCACATCATCTCACAAACAGTGCACAATGACAATCCAAATGAATCCGAATTAAAAAAAAAACAAAATTTTTAGTGTATGCATCGTATTCTTTGAGATCATACAAGTAGTTTTAAAGAATGAAGCTGCTAGTTTAGAGCCAACTAAAAAAGATAATCAGGTTACAAGCCAAATGAAATGAGGATGACTCGAGTAAAATCATTTTTCTGAGTCGAATGAGTCGAGTAAAGTCGTGAACCCATAACTGAAACAATTGTATTATTAAAAAAAATCCAACTATCTTCTGAAGATATAATAGTGACCTAAAATTATTAGTCTTATTTATCTACACTAAGTTTTTAACCCTCTGCAATATTTTTTTTATTAGATTTACCATGTCTCAACTAAATTCCCATGTTTCTTGTACTTGTGCATCGATACCAACAGTATTTTATTAGTTTCAGTCACAAGAGGGCCCTCTCATGAGAAAAGCCATGAGCTCTCCCTATTTAACCATTGGATTGAAAGATACATTAAATAATTCATTTGAATTTTCACGTCTCAAAAAACTGTTCCAATCCAATGGCTAAATAAGAAGAGCTCGTGGCTCTCTTCTCATGAGAGGGTCCTCTTAGGAGCATTACTCTGAATAATTATATATATATTTTTTGTATGAAATCAGAATATGTAATATATATAATAACACTTTCCTATATGTAGGTCGTATAATTATTATAAACACACAGCCCCAAAAGATATATATCTTTGTACAAACTACATTGACCTCCCCAAATGTCTGACAAAAATACAGAGACCTCCCTCTGTCTTTAAAAATTACATGTCCTCCCCATCGAAGACGTTAACATTTCTCGTGAAATTACTTCGAGATAATGTGAAGGGAGCCATTTTTCGCACAGGCCTTACAGAGTGAAACCCTAGACATGTCTTTGGTGGCAACAAAGACGAACTCCAACATTGAGGTTTCTAAAGAGAGAATGTGAGACTGGATAGAGAGGAATTGAGAGGGAACAATGATGTGTCTGAGCTAGTGAGGTGACAAAGAATTAAGAGATTCATTTGCTCGCAAATCTAAAGTGCCAATAATATTCTGCTCACTGGGTTTCTTTATTCAATCATCCCCCAAAATCCATCTGATTTGAACTCCTGGCTGTTTTGGCCTGGGTTGAAATTGCTCTGGGAGAACTGGGTGTTTGTGGATGTGTATAGTGAAGCGGTACGGAAAATGGAGCACAATGAGGTCAGAATTGCTCGGTGAGTTGGTGCATTATGATGCTTGCTGCTCCATCTGAATATGCGTCCACTGAGTCTGAGCCGTGTGACTAAAGGCGGTGAAGTTATGTCATTATGGTGCATGCCAAACATTGTGACAATAGTTTTGGATGCATTGAAGGGGTCGTTCGATACTAAATTGTATGATTTCTGGAGTGCTGTGCATTTCTTTTAGAGTCATTGATGGAATTGAAGCTGGAGATTAGGCCAAAAGTAAGCGAGAGTGAGGAACTTTCCAGCTGAGTCAAAGGGCAAGCCTTGAAAGTTAGAATTCGTTGGTGCACTTATTTATTCTTCCTTACCAATACCACCATATATATATATATGATGAGAGATTGGTGAATCATCTTCTCTTGCATTGCCAGTGGCAAGAAATGGGTGGGCATTGATCCTTGCCTTGTTCGGTGTACATAGGGTCATGTTGCTTTCCATGAAAAGCATGCTTGAGGCATGAAGAGGCTGTACAGTTGACAACCAAACTCCAGATGCTCGGAGGGTTGCTCCTCTTTGCTCATGGTGGAGCTCATGGGGGCAGAGGAATAGGAGATCATTTGATGGGGTGGAGACTCCTACTTGGGTTCTCAAAATCTCTATTAAGTTTATCATATTTTTAGGATCATGGTTGAAAATGTGAATCTGTAGAAGAGTTATAATTTTTTTATGGATACTCTAAAGGTATAGTGACTTTTTGGCCTTTGTGTTTGGGATGCGCTCCCCTCTCAAGCACTTTCTATGAATCTATAATTATCAAAAAAAAAATATTGTATTATTGCTCTACTTATATATATGGTGTTTTTTGATTGTTCAACTACTGGATCATTTTCTGAATGGATTATAGTATCATTATCCTTGCCTTATCCCATGTGAATGGGGTCAGCCACACGAATTCTCTCCAAGGTTTTCTATTACACGTCAATTCACCTACTATATTTTAAAATCATTTTTAATAACGGTATCACATGTTATTTTTGGCTTCGTTCTTCATCTCTTACCTTCTATTACAACTAGTCTCGTTTGACCAGCACGTCACTAGTTCTCTGATGTATCTGTCCAAACCATCTAAGTCTACTCTCTCAAAATTTTCTTACCAATGGGTGCTACATCTAATTTTCCTCACACTTTCATTTGTGACATCATCTCTTCTAGTCACTTCATCCATCTATCTTACCATTCTCATTTCCGATATAAAGGCATTGTTCTAATTTTTTTTTAGGGCCCTGCATTCCACTCCATACAACATAGTTGGTCTAATAACGGTCCTATAAAATATTCCTTTTAGCCTATGCATTATTCTTTTATCATATAAATTGTCTCCATTTCAGCCAACTCGCTCCAATCCTATAGTTACATCACAATCTATCTCTCCATTGTTTTGTGTTATCGATCCTAGACACCGAAAAGGGTTATTTTGAATAATCCTTTGGCTTTTAAGTGCTATCATTATATTATCAGTATTTGAATCTTTATTAATTTGAACTCCAAATATATGCATATATTTTACTAGTAAATTTGAAGTTAATTAAAAAAAAAAAAAAAGTAAATTTAAACTCCATATATTCAATTTTAGTTCAGTTAATTCTCAATCCTTTCGAGACCGAAGAATTTCTCCATGTTTCTAGTTTTATTGCTAAGTTCTCTTTAGAGATAACCAAAAGCACAATATGATCGACAAACATCATGCACCATGGAATCTCATTTTGGAATTCTATTATTATTTCATGTAAGATCATTGCAAATAAATATGGGCTTTAGCACCAATCCTTGGTGCAATATAGATATCTTGGATAGTTTTTATGATTTGCAAAGGAATTAGTTTTCTTTATAGGGGCAACCAAATTATATCTCTTAAGACCCTATCATATATATATATTTAAATCTATAAAAATGATATGTAGGTCTTGTTACTCCTACTTCCTTCAACTAATTGTTTAAGTATATATCTTCCATTGTTGATCTCCCCAACTTGAATCCGAATTGATTATCGCATAACCACAATTTTGTATATCCCCTTTATTTTTTGTAAGTGGAAACTGTTTTATGATGATGTTAAATAACTTTGTTAGCCATTCAATTCCAACGTTTCCTAGTGTTTGCCAAGCCTCTATGCACCGCTTTATTACTTCCCATCTTCTTAAGTGTGTCCTTTACCTCTATGGTGGTGATTTTATTCATCAATGTTATGGCAAGTTCATTTCTTTCTACTACTTCTCTAGGATCTTCGACTAATATTGGATGGATATTAATTCTAAAAGCACCTTTAGTAGGTTTGTAGGCCTATATTAGTTTGAGTTCTCTGTTTTTTTTCCCTTAATGACAAGGGCATCATTGCCTGTTCTTTGAAGGGAAAAAAAATGGAATTGACATGTTTCGCATTGACCACTTTTACGATCGATGTCTTCCGCTATTTCGGCAAGGGGCAAAGTTTACTCAAACACAAACGCTAAAGAGGGAGGCAGATTTTTTTTAACACGGGAGGATAGTGTATTTTTGTCAAATTTAAGGGAGGTCTGAGCAATTGGTCCAATATTTTATACCCACTCACACCCTTGATTTTTCTATCTCGCTGGATTAGAACTATCAAGATTCTTTATAATTTTCCATTTATCCTTCCACAATATAATTCAATGCTACCTCAGCATCAACTCTCCAAAATCGAGGCCCCTAATCCATATTAAATAGTCAATAGGATATGCTGAACAAACCAAAAACATAAGGATTATATTCACCATGTCATGCAAACCTTCCCTGTGGCTGGACTATCATGCAACCTTTTAGTATACTTCATAAACCATCTAATTTAAATCAATTAATCCTAACTCAAACTTATTCATTGATTGAGTGCAATCCTGAGATGATAATCTCAATTTCATTATACCACCTTCATGTCCTTTACACTTTATTACATAAGAATAAGGATGAAGTTCCAAGATGACTTTGACTTCATTAGTGACTTTAATTCCAAGATGACTTCATGACTTGATATTAGTTACTTTAGGATTCAAAAGCCTTTTTTTTTGTTTTTTTTGATTTTTTTTTTTTTTTTTTGGGGAGGTGACTTTAGGATTCAAAGCCCTTATTGCACAAAACTAGGTAATAATCCAAATTTTACTAGGTTTCATAGCATACGTTCATTATCAACCATTAGCAACAAACTATTTCATAGACCAAAAGACAGAGAGAAGACATGCATAAAACGAATAAAAGCACAAACCACCAAAGTACTTGTGTCAAGAAAATTACCCTCTCAAAGGTAACAATTTATTCATTGAGCATAAATTCAAACCCAAAGCATTCCTAAACAGAATAATGCATTAAAGGACAGAGGATGATAATATTCTGCAATTCAAAGGAACTCAATGGGTGGAAATTCTGAGATTGAGAGACTTAGACTTAGTGAACCATGCCTTCCAACTTCCACTGCCCTTCCTGTCAATCACTGCCGGCGCCGCCTTTCCGTTGTCGACATCCGGTTTCTTGCAGAGCATGAAATTCCGGCATCCCAGCGACCCAATTGTCTCCCATGGACTCAAAACTATATTTAAAAAAAAAAAAAAAAAAAAAAAAAACCCAAATAAAATACTTAACAAACAATTCAAAAAACTGATGAGAATTAACAAAAATTGTTCAAATTTTGATTACCTTCTGTTCCAGCATTGGGGCAATAAAGCACGAATTTGTTGAAATCAGAGCCGAGAACCGGCAGGCGTCCCTCGCGAGCATACGATTTGAGCGCGGTGTCCATGACGGCGGCGACGACCTCTTCTTCATTGACGACGAAACGGATCGGACCGGCACTTCCCATAACGGTAATGCTGATCAAGAGCCGATTGCCCTTGGCAGCTTGGTTCTTCTTTTGCTTGTTCAGAATCATGATTGCGAATCAAAAAATTCAGATAAACAAAACTGAAGAAATTGAATTGCGAAAGCTATCTAGAGAGCGAGAGAGGACAAGGGTTTTTTTTCTTGAGAGAAAAAATTGGGGAGGGTTTCGTTTAGGGGTCGAGGCCGAGGCAGCGATAGTACCAGACTTCCTTGCAGCAAGCGAAGGAGAAACCAGAGGCAACAGAGATCCCCCTTGAGTTGAAAGGGGCGATCATTAACCGATTGCTGGAGATTTCCACCATTCACAATGGATACTGATTGTAGAGAGAGAAAGAGAGAGCAGGTAGAGAGAGAGAGATTGGGAGATGGGAAGAGTGGAGATGGGGTTGTGTTGGTTTTATACTAGTTCGTAAAGAGGGTTAATTAGGGTTGGGACTTGCTGTCGTTTGTTTTTACACTCTATAAATGCCCATATGGCATCTCATGTCGAAAATAGTGGTGTCGTGAAACGCGTTTTAATACAAACCAAAGAACGGCACGGTTTGGAACAATCCAGCAGTGAATTTGACTGCAGACGATACCTACCACGTGTCCTTATTCAAATGTAGCACAATAAAAATATCAGTTTTGTATAATATTTAATAACTCAAATTCTTGTTGGACACTATTTAAAATCTCAGAAGCAAGTTAGAATAATATATATATTTTTTAAATTAGTTTCTATTTATTAAAATATTGAAATAAACAATTTAAAATTACTCAACTTCTTGTTAGACAATTTTTATTAGAATCATATGGTTAATAGTAGCATTGCTTATATTTAAAAAATATAATAAAAAATAGACCAAGCACATTTTTAATTGATAAAATAAATTTCTCTATTTTCATAATTCAACAGGTGTACATTCTTGAATGAGATTGTATGGAGCAAGGATTTGTATTGTTGAAGTAGGTTTATTGTTTAATTTTCTGTTTGGCTCACAAAGTGGTTTGAAGTCGCTGGCCAATGAATGGTTGACCCGAAATGCGGGCATGCCAGAGTCTTGATGGACTCAAAGATTTCTTGTCAAATTATTCCTATCGAGTTGGGTCACCGACCTAATGTGCTCAAGGCGAAAGTTGGAGGGTAGGAATGACCCTCTCCTTAAAGTTGCTTTTGCCTTTAAGAAATGACTTTAAACATTCAAGATAGATAGCAATTAGAAGCAAATTAATTAAACAATAAATATACCTGAATCTGCAAACCTTTCTTCATTGAACTTTGGACTGATTACAATGATGAATAAATTACAAACTCTTGATTGAAATGGAAACTAAAGTATTAGATGCTGAAAGATGAAGTAAATACTAAACTGCTAGTAATAAACTGAACTTGATGAAATAAAAGTTAAGTGTTAAGTGATATGAATGCTAAAGGCTTGGACTTTAGAAATGGTGTTGGACCTTTTCCTTGTGAGACTTAAATGGGTATTTATAGAGGCTTCAACCTGGTGTTGTCCCTTTCAATTCGTTTTTTTAAAAATTAATTGGTTGCAAGTTAAAAATAACTTCTCCTAACCATCTTGCTGAGCTGGTCAAGTTGACTGACTTGCACATTTCTCCATGGGTAGATACAAATTTGTCCGGCATAATATTTTTGACTAAATAATGCATCTTCTTTCATGCTTGATGATTCTGATCTTTAGTCTGTTTTCAGCTCTCTGCACCAGTCATGTCTGGCTTGATTTGTACATTGGCTATAAAATCTTTTGATTACTGATGATTCTGACTTTCTTCATTAAATGTAGGTGAGAACCTTCCATTTGTAGTTCTGAATCGCTGGACCTTAAACATGGTCAAATTGTCTTTTTCCATTTCAAACTTTCTTTAAGTTTCAAGACCTGACTTGTTGGGTTCTTGAGACATTGGGATTCACAGCTGGTCTTTATTTAAATTACACCAAATATTCTTCAAGTGACTATGACCCGAAGAGATATTAGATCCATCTTAGTCTAAGCTTGTCCATCAATTAGGCGTATTCTCGATCATTGGTCGAGACTGTCAACCATGGTTAATCGAGAGACCTCCGTTAGTCATAGTGATCGAGGGACTAACGCTAGTCATAGTGATCGAAGGACCTCTATCAGTCATAGTGATCGAGACACTTCCATTAGTCATAGTGATCGAGGGGCCTCTGATAAGTGCCGAATATTTCATATTCAAGGGCCCTTAATTGCATGTTTTAGTCTATTTAGCATATCAATAAAGTGTATTTTACAGGCTTTTGTATATTTTTGTCTATTTTCAGAGCTTATCTCTAAAATGGAATAAAAGTAAGTTTTTATGGGATTTAAATGAACGTGGTTTATGGCGAGCTAGAGAATCAACTAAAGTGGTCCTAAGTAAGGTTGCAACTCGAGCGGGTTGGGCTGGTTGGACACTTAACTCGAGCTCAACCCAATGTACAAATCTTTAGCCCAAGCCCAGCCCAAGCCCAGGGATAATTCTGCATACTGAGCCCAAGCCCAGCTAATACTTAATTTTTAAAACGCGAGTTGAACTCGGTTCCTAATTCGAGTTATATTTTCGGGTTTCTCGGGCTTTTAAGTCGGGCTCTCAATTTTATTAGTGCTTGGAGTTGGAGTAGCATATATTTTGACAATAATATCAATACGCTGCCTTATTTTGAACCTGCTTTGTTGTATGAGTTTCAAACTTTTAGTTTCAATACATTACAAAACATTAATAATAAATAAGTCCAAAACAAATCCTCATAACCAACATTAATAATAACATTACAAAACAACAGAAAAAATTGTTGGTCTAACTCTATGCTTTTCTTAATCTCCATGCTTCTCAACATTCATCCTCCAATCTCCATGTTCCTCATTCCTACAAAAGGGATATGACAATATCAAATTATAGATAACTTGTAAAAAATAAAATAAAATAAAATAAAATAAAAAATAAAAAACATGAAATATATAAATCATTTGTCAAAACTATCTCATATACACATAATTGATAATATTACCCCTTGAATTTTGCTAGATGACTCTAAACTGGTGCAAGCTCTAGGTTCTCCAACTTTAATCTCCAAACCTACATGCAAATTAGAATATTAATGATTGTCAACTACAGAGAGATCACCAAAACAGGCAGCTTTAAAACAATTTTATATACATATTGTTCAGATTCATGAGAGATAGAGAGAGAGAAAGAGAAATGTATATTCTGTGTATTGTATTCAGCCCTCTCAATGAGGCTTATATAAAGAACAAGGGTTATACACCCTAATTACATAATATGGCTTAATTACACAATAAACCTAACTACTATGGGTAATTACATAAGGACCCAATATTATGGAGGATATAAACATTCTAACACTCCCCCTCAAGCTGGAGAATATATATCAAATAATCCCAACTTGGAATAGATAGTCCTTAACCGGTTATGACCCAGTGCTTTGGTAAACATATCAGCTAGTTGATCTTCAGACTTCACAAATGGAGTAGAGATGCTCCCACTTAATAGTTTTTCCCGAACAAAGTGACAATCAACCTCAATATGTTTGGTCCTCTTATGAAACACAGGATTCGATGCAATGTGAACAGCTGCTTGGTTATCACAGAATAATGGAGTTGGATCTTTAACTGTCAACCCAAATTCTTTTAGAAAATCTTGTATCCATGTCAACTCACTAGTGGTATGGGCCATTGCCTTGTACTCAGCTTCAGCATTAGATCGAGCTACCACCGTTTGCTTTTTACTTTTCCACGTACTAAGATTTCCTCCTACAAATGTATAGTAACCTATAGTAGATCTCCTATCTGAAGGAGAACCAGCCCAGTCAGCATCTGTAAAACCTTCCACCCTGAGATGACCATTTGATTTGTATAGTAACCCAAAACCTGGAGCTTGCTTGAGATATCGGACAATCCGATGAACAACAATCCAATGTGGCATTCTAGGAGCTCCCATGAACTGACTTACAACACTAACTGCATATGAAATATCAGGTCGAGTGATAGTGAGATAAATTAATTTCCTAACAAGGCGACGAAAGCTGCCCGGGTCATTAAATAGATTACCCTCATCAGACACAAGTTTTGTATTTGAATCCATAGGAGCATCAACCGACACCTAACATACCCGTTTCTTCTAACAAGTCCAACACATATTTTCGTTGAGATAAACTTATACCTTCCTTGGATCTAGCAACTTCAATACCCAAGAAGTACCTAAGTTTACCCAAGTCTTTAGTGTGGAATCAATTTTGCAAAAACAACTTCAACTTAGCAATGCCTGCAGAATCATCACCTGTAATCACAATATCATTTACATACACTACAAGAAAAATGAAGCCAGCTTTAGTGCGCAGGTGAAATACCGAATGATCGGTCTGGTATCTGTTAAGACCAAATTCTAATGCCACCTTAGAGAATTTTCCAAACCAAGCCCGTGGAGATTATTTCAATCCATACAAGGCCTTCTTAAAGCAACAAACAGTGTGACGATACTCCCCCTGAGCAACAAACCCAGGTGGTTACTCCATATAAACTTCTTCAACCAAGTCACCATGTAAGAAGGCATTTTTGATATCCAATTGAAACAACGGCCAGTTAAAATTGGCAGCAATGGAAATAAGAACACGAATAGAAGAAATCTTAGCAACCGGGGAAAAAGTCTCATTATAATCAACACCATAAGTCTGAGTGTACCCCTTTGCCACTAGACGAGCCTTCAATCGCTCAATAGACCCATCATGAAGGTATTTAACTATGTAGACCCACTTACAACCAACCGTTTTGGAGCCCAGAGGTAAGGGAACAAGATCCCATGTTCCATTACGGTGAAGGGCATCCATTTTATCCACCATGGCTTGTCGCCAACCCAAATCAGAGAGAGCATCTTGCAAAGTCTTAGGGACAAAAGTAGCAGATCCTTTGGATAAAAAATAAGATAAAGAGGATGAAATATGATGGTAGGAGACAAAGTTAGAAATGAGATATGCACTAACACACGACCGAATACCTTTACGGCGAGCAATAGGCAACTCATCAGGTAAAGGTGTCGGATCCGAAGACTCTGAAGGAGATGGAGGGAGCAAAGTAGGCGGTCGAGGTCGTCGAGTATAAACTAATAATGGGACAGTAGAGCGAGGAGGTGCGGAAGCAGGAAACTGAGATGGAACCATTGGCATAGGTGGCTCAGAAGTAATATCAAGAGGAGTAGTAGAATCAGAAACATATGGGAGAGACTTAGAAAATGTTACATCAGCACTAGTGAAATAGCGTTGAAAATGAGGACTGTTACAACGATAGCCCTTCTGAGTGCGAGAATACCCAAGAAAAACACACTTAGTAACATGAGGGTTGAGTTTATCAAGACCGGGTCCAAGGTTATGGACATAACACACACAGCTAAAGACTCGCGGAGTCGAATTAAACGATACAGA